CTTTAAACATATTTACCATTCAGAGATATCTTTTGTATTGTAGCCCCGATGCCTCCAAGTAGGTACTTATACAAGATCCTATTAAAGGTTCACAAGAACAGATACTGTTTGTTTGGTTTTTTTTTAAAGCTGGCTGACTAAATACATCCCATTTTTATGTGTTTGGCGTATTTTCAGAGGAATATATAAGAGATTGGCAACAATGATTGCTCTGAGGAGGCTTCCAGAAATTAGGAATGATGATTGCTCTGGAAGGAAAGGCTAAGGATCATAGGTAAGAAGAGGACTTTCTTTTTACCAGGTGAGCATTTGTATCATTTGATTTTACCATAAGCAAATATCATCTTAAGAATTACACATGGAGGAGAGCAACAAAAAATATTTGTTGAATACTAACTCTGTTTCAGTCACTATTAATTGGTGTTTGACTCTAAGATCCCATTTCATCTTTACAATAGTCTATGTAAAACTCTATTTTGCTAAGAGGAAATAGTATCAGGTAATACCAGTCACGCATCCACGTTGACACAGCTGATACATGGCAACAGGGGGAACTGAATGCAGTTCTTTCTGATTTCCAGAACCACAGATTATATTGTGTTGACTTCAAGCCATTGCAAAGGAACCAAATTTATAAGACAGTAGCTTTGCACGTACTTTTCTAAGAACCCAAAGTAATACTGTGAAATCCATCTCATGGTTCACACCAACAAGTCAGTGCACCTTCCTCCACCTGAGGCCCCTTGTTAGAAGCTGTTCTGCATACCTCACACCTTTGCAGGATGTTGAGCCTCCCTGAAGGTTTCTCCTGAAGTCCTTCATGCACACTGGAGTGCCCACTCCAAGGGTGGGGTGAAACCTGTTATCATGCATTCTTCAGTAAACCACTGTTTCCAAATGGAGGATTTTCAAGGTAGCAGCAACTATGCTGGTCAATATCTAACTTTAAGCACACAGAGTCTTCATTTATTGAACAAATGTCTTTGAATGATCACTTTGAGCCAGGCGCTCTACTTAAGAGCTAGAATTGTAGAGGTGAGGAAGTCCTTGTCCCCATGAGACATGTGTCCCAATGAAAAGAAACATGCAGTGAACAAACAAGCAAGCAAATAAGCAGAACACAAGGTAGTAAGTACATGGAAGAAAGCTAAACTGGCCTGGCATGGTGGTGCACACCAGCAGTCTAGGAGACTGAGGCCAGAGAATTGCAAATTTGGGCCATGCCTGGGTAACTTAGGCAGAACCTGTTTCACAATAAAAGAATAAAAAAGGCTGAGGATGTAGCTAAGGGAGGAAGGCCCTGGGATCAATCACCAGTACCAGGAAGAAAGAAAGAGAAGATAAAGATAGGGAAAAGAGAAAGTTAAACTGTTGTAGTGGAGTGACTACTAGTTGCCTACTTTAGCACTGGTCTTCAGGAAATGCCTTTCTAGGGACATGATATTTACCTGGATAACACGAATGGCATAGAAACTCTAACAGCTACTGTCCTTCAAAACAAACTAAAGCTCCCTCTGTATACTTTAGCACTCATCCTAATTTCCATTTCAAGTTCCTATTCATCTACAGTAAGAATTTGCAATCCCAGAATTTAGAGCTATAAAGGCCCTAGAGGTCTTAATCTCATCACATCATTTTAGAGATGAGGAAATAAAATCAAGGAATGTGAAGAGAGCAGGTCACACAGCTAGTGTGGATCTTCCACTAATCTTGCTTATCTTTCCAGTGTCTCACTCCTCCCTGCACTGCTGACCCTGGTGCCTGTCTCCCTGGAGTCCGCAGACATGATAAATCCTCCTGGATTACAAGGACCTGTTGGAATGACATTAGGAATCTTGAGAATGATACCTTGGGGCCAGAGGAACAAGAGAAGAAAAGGTACAAACTCCACAGTGCAATTTCTGCACACCCAGGCCAAGTCCTAGAGTCCTGCCTGGCTCCTACCCCACCTCTCTGCCCACAAGTGACAGCTATAGAAGTTTCTTAATTTGAGAGCTCTATGGACTCAATGGACACTAAATATCTCCCTTCAGAAATGTTCCCTGGCTTCACAAGTTGATATGAAAATGTTCTATTCTATAATCTCACCCTTCCCAAAATGCTTTACAAAATGATTAACCACAGAATTTCTTTAAATAGCAAGTTCCTTCAGTACATTTAAAATATGATCTATAAAAATTCAATCTACATAAAGATTTTATTCCCTCTTCAAAAAACAGCTATTGTATCAAGGGCAATAGCATAAACATGAACTCTCAATGGTAGGTTTTAGAATTAGTATGCAGTGGTTCTCATTCATTCCACAAGTACTTATTGAACTGCTGTATGAAATATACACTTCTAGGTTGCTGTGAAGACACAATAAAAGGAAGACAGACACAGCCTCTGCCCTTGGGAGCATGCGTGCACACAACACTTAACACCAGGCAGGTTATGATGAGCTCTGCAAAGGAAATACAGACTAAAGCTACAGAGGATGAAGGAAAGAGACCTTATACTGCAATCACGGATCTGGAAATGAGGCAGCAACATTTTAATGCACTTCCAGGGATGATTTCTGTGAACATACAATGCATTCTAGAAAATGAAAACCTCATGACATGTACAGAGGGCAGGACATACAAGGGCCCATTCTCAGGAAAGAAGGGAGTCGAGTGTAGGAAATAACAAAGAAGAGAACACAGGCCTTGGAAGGTACACCAGAGCATTGAATGCAAGGATGAACAAGTGGGGCAGACCTGAGTGGATAAAGGCTGCCATCGGGGACAGAACTCCATTTAAAAATCATTCCGTAGTTCTTGGATCATCTTTAAAATAAATAAATCAGGAATAAATGTGGGAGCTAGAATAAAGGTAAAATTGATGAGGTGAGAAATCTAAATCCTCAGAGAGTATCCAGGTCTGGGCAGGGGCAGAGCCCACACCTCATATCCCAGCCTAGAGAAGTTAGCAGGATGGTAAGTGATGCCTCTTAAGGACAGTGATGAGATGCCGCCTGCTTGAGACAGTAATCATGAGACCATTGCATAAGAGCTACCCCAGCTGGATGTCTTTTGATCCATGTATGAAGTCTCAGTTATTAATAACTCCTCTTCTGGAGATATGCAGAAGTGCCTGTTATACATGAGGGGCCAGAACACTTGTGAAATTATAATGTCTCCACAGCAGCAGTGAAAAGCAGCTTGATTGGGGTGGAGAGCAGGAGCTTGGAGAACAACCATTTGTGAACAAATGATAACTCAGTGGAGGGAGGATAAGTTTAATCAAGAACATCAGGCACAATGTAAGCCTTCTGACTGTGCCTGATGACAGCAATTACATGACAGACTGAGGTCTTTCAATATGAAGAATCTGGGTTCAGGGTGTACCAACCTGCCTAGCTTACATACTTGCCTAGTTTACAGGCAAACAGTCACATAATTAGCTGCCCAGGGCTGTCTGCCACAAAATTATGAATTTCAGGAAGTTTTCCACTGGTCTCTTTTCTTGGCTACTCTCTCTAAAGATATATAGCCCGGTGCTATAGTTTGGATCTTGAATATCCCCCAAAAGTCCATATACGAAAGATCTGGTTCTAACCTGTGGCACTATTGGGAGATGGTAGAATATTTAGGAGAGGGAGCCTAGTGGGAGAAGTTTAGGTGTTGGGGTCATGATTTGAAGGGGATATGGGACATCAGGCCCTTCCTCTTCTTTTTCTTTGCTTCCTGACCAGGAGGTGAAGAGGTCTTCTCACTCACATGCTCCTTATCACAGGCCCAAAGACACAGGACCAAGTGGCATAAAATACAACCTCTTCCTCTGTGAGCCAAAATAAGCTATCTCTCTTTAGAAGTAGATTTATCTCTGGTTTTTTGTCACAGTAACAGAAAACTGACTAACACACTGTTTCCTCCATAGGAGGAAACCATACTGATATTGTGAAGCCTGTTCACAGCCAACTGGCTCATATAGTCTATGGACCTTACCTTAAATCATTATCCCAGTGTGTTCTGCATGAAATAGGAATATCCTGAACAAAGGGTCTTGTGATAAAATAATGCAGGAGGAAAATTCCATGTCAAATAAAATAAAAGAGGTTTCTTTGCTTTAAGATACCTAATGCTGATATAGTCTGAGAGTCTCCTAGAATAAGATACAATAGGTAGCATTCCCCAACATTACTTATCTGCAAAACCATTTTTTCAGCAAAATGTCTCAAGGACCAAGAGCCCAGCAGAACACACCTGAGAAAAGTCAGTCGCTATCTTATTCTCTATAACATTTGTGTTTGTTGATCAGAAATAAGAACTAAAGCTGATATTTAATTTCTCTTCACTATTTGCCAGGCCAAGTACTTTTACAGGTAGTAATATATTTAATCTGCATGCCTGTGACATGGGTACTGTTCTCTTTTTATAGGTGAGGAAACTAAGGCACAGAGTAAAGATTTTCCTCTGGTGTACCTTGCCTTGTCCTAAACAGGCAAGTTGGTGAATAGAGCAATCTAACACCCACAGAAATAAATTTCTTACGGTAGAATGTTAAATACTGTGATCAGCTGGCCATGGCCAAGATTCAGATCAAAGTCTTAGGTGGCAACTCTTCAAACATTCTTGTAAATCTCAACCTGTCTGCTCATGAATGAGGCTTTAAAGGTCTACCCAGATACAATGTAGAACACAACTTCTAAATTATACCACTCATTTGGTTTCTTCACCAAATTGTGTCACATTGCACAAATATAACTTTTCATTAAAACAAAGTCCTGAGCCAGACTTCCATGCAATTAACCATAATAAATGGAACTCCTAGAAAACAACCTTTTGATTAACCAAAGTAGCAAGAAAATGAAGGCACAACTTGACACCTGGCTTCTCCTGTGCTTTAAAAGTTTTGATCTGTTGCTCCCTAGGTTTAGTGGTGAAAATCAAAGGACTTTTTTTCCCCTGTAATATGTCCCCAAATTTCACATTTTTTCCCTTCTACTTTGCTCAAGAATTGTGAAAGATATGTCCTACCCTCTCCCACTTCCTCTCCTTGTTCAGAAGAATTATCACCAGTTTCGGGTGCATCTGGTAGCCATCTTCACTGAAGGACAAATTTCTCCCCTCAAACGTGACATTGATCAGATACCTGTAAAGATAAAATAAAAAGGATTAAATACATGAAGGAAGCATACACAAAACAAGCCAGGTAGAGAAGGTAAGTGGAGACAAATCAGTGGAAAGGCAGACAAATACCATTAGAAAATTTAGTAATTCTTGAACTCTCATTTGCTTGTAGAAGACAATTATTCATGTTTTTACCTGATAAAAATAGAGGGAAATAATATAATTTAAAATAAAAGAACTTGGTTTGAGTCCGTAGCTATGGCTTTGAGTGAATTATTTAGTGTTCTGAACTTTAGGGGTTTTTCTTCTCTGCAGAAAGTGGCTAAGAAAAGGACTGACTTCACTAGGTTTAATAGGATAGTAAGTTAAACACTTACCATGGGGAATGGTGCATAGTAAACCTTCATTAAACGCTAATAATTATTATTAAAAGAAGAGATGAAATAAAGAGGCAGAGTAAGTAAAGACAAGAAAAGAAATGAGTGAGTACTAAGACTTATTTCTGCTAAGGAAGGTGGTTTGTAAGCATAAACATTGCTCTTCTTCCAGACATGTACATATTTTTTAAAACTCCTACTAATATCTGACCCTACCCATATTCCTAAGAGTTGTAAGGTGAGTCCTAGGCAGGAACCTGATGCCACAGGACACATCTGAAAACAAGCATTATTGCACTGTGTACAGTGAGCAGAAAGTACCCTTGAAGGAGATGGAGGCACTGCACAAAGTGTTCTGGGGACAGGAGCATAAATTAGCAGAAAGTTTGGAGGTAACCAAAGTTAGAACAACAAAATTATTTTCTTCCTGGACACCTACATCTTGCTCTCCCCTGCTGGCCGCTATGATCAGCAGTTCTGTCACTGGGAATCCCCATAGGTATGCTCATTACAACTGCATTAGTACAACTGGCCTGATGGTAATTAATGTGCCTTTACCACAATGGCTCAAGGAATCAATAATGATTAGCTCTGTGTTCACATAACATGCTATTTCAGAGCTTTGGGCCCAGTGCTGTTTGTAATATGTGTTTCTGCTAAACAGCAAAGAGACATCTTACGTAGTAGCACAGGAAGGAGCTTTAAGGTCTCTTCTTTTAACTCTCCTCATTCAGTGAGACTTGAAAACTCCCAGTCTTCCTAAGGGCAGTGTGGCTGGAGTGTGTCTCCTTTTGGCAATAATAAAAATTGCAGCATGAACCCAACCTTCATATATCATGTCTCACTCCTAGAATTGTTCGAGATTCTTAGGCCTGTCATTCCCTGGCTTTGAGTAGGCTCATTGTGAGCAAGCAAGAGCAAAGACAACCCCAAAAGAGTATAGATTTCTAGAACGGTGGACCTGAAAGAGACATTTATAATCAGCTAGCCCATCACTTCTTGCAGCTAAAATTCCCCTCTATAACACTGCAAAACTGGTCCCCTCAGCTTGTCTTGAATGCATCCACTGATGGGGACATTTATCCCAGCATCCTCTACTTTCAAGGAAGCCATCTCATGGTTGGACATTGCATCTTACTTAAAGCTGAAATCTGCTTCATTTAACCATCCAATACTTGCTTTCTCCTTAGATATTGTACAGTGTTAGTCTGATCCTTCCTCCACATGACTTTTTCAAATATTTAAAGACCTTTATCATGCATCCTTTATAAAACAAATGTTAATCTTTAATGAACCCCTAAATGCAATTTCATGAATTAGCAAACAAGCATAGAAAGATTAAATTATTTGTCCAAAGTGACATTACTAATTGGAAGCAGAAACAATATTTTAAGTAAGTTTTCAGCCCCATATCTTTTCTACCACATCATCCTGATTCTCATCTCCTACATAACGTTAATACCTTCTGTCCCTTCATGTAGTTGTCCTACAGCATAGCTTTTAAGTTCATTCTTCTCTCTGGACACCTTCAGTCAAGTAAGCAGAGCTCCCCTGATCCAACTCAAGACTCCACCAGCATATTCTCCCTTCCTCCTGCTTCTTCAGCCCTTAGTTCAAAGCTGCTTGTCCAAGCCCATTCCTAGTTTGAAGATAATATTCAGGTTTCCTGTAGTTTTCAGCAACTCTAATACCCAGGCAAAGCCCCATAGATTTCATTCTAAGGGATATTATTACAAAACCACAAGACAAACTATTTTAAACTAAGCAACTAGAATTTAAACACCCATCATTAACTTGGAAAATAGGTTCTTCCTAGGACAATATTAGGTTATTTAGAATGATTTCTGGAAGTCTTCAAAAAAAGATTATAAGATGGACGAAATAATTTAGTCCCAGCTCTTTTTTGAGTAAAGGAAGAGAAGAAAAGAGAGAAGGAATAAGGAGAGAGATGGTGAGGGCAGAAGAGAAGGAAAGAAAGAAAGGGGGAAAATAAATTACCTGGCTTAAGCACTATCTTTTCACCAGATATGGCTCTGAATAATTCTGACTTTATCTAAAATACCATTAAAAATATTTAAAAGTAAGTGTCCATTTCAGAAAGCAATTATAAAAGGGAAGTTTCAGAAATGATTCTATTCATAACTAGCATGAATGGAATAAGTACACAGGCTCTCAAGATGACTCCTTTAAAAAGGACAACGGTGAAGTAGGTAGGTAAGTTGAGAAATTTAAACTTTCAAGAAATAAACCATACTCCTGGGCAATGTGATTGGCCTATAGTTAAATTTCTCTAGTTATTCCTGCCTCATCTCCTCCCAATTTTCCTTAGAAATTGTTCTCTTCCTATAGTGTTCACTCCCTTCTACCTCTGCAAGTTCATTTTATCTACCAAAACACTTCTTCAGTATTTTTCATTTTTCAAAAATTTTATGACACTATACAAAACATTCTTCTCCAAAGTATCTTTTAATCATTTATGTCCTTCAGCAGCATATGGATTAATCATTCACATTGTGTTTTTCTGAGTAATTCTCTATGATATGACACATTTAGCTATTAATGAGAAGCCTGCAAATGTATACCAGCCCTAAGCAAGGATGATATAGTTTAACAGTTGCTGGATTTATCTCCAGGATGCAGTCTGACCTCTAAGAAACCTGATGGCTTCTCTCATATAAAGTTCTCATATTGCACAGAATCTCATATTACTAGAACTAGAAGAAAAATTAGAAATTATCCATTGAAAACCCTTATTGTAGCAAAGAGAAAACAGGTTCCAGGATGCTACGTATTTTTCCCAGGTGAGGGTTGGAACTCAAGTCTCTGGTCCTCAGATCAGCATCTTCTCATGAGGTCACTAACTGAAGAAGTTTCACAAAGCTCCTGGTCTGCAGTTTAGTTCTCTTATGTCACATGTCATGGCCTGGACTACACAGACCCTTGATATAGCCTGAGTAAAATAAAACCTATCTCATTTCCTGTTTGCCTCCTGATTGAGAAAGAGCCTCAGAATCCTGATGGGCTCAGAGCCAACACATTTGCTTTATATAGCTAAAGTCACACCCTAGTGGGTTTAAAGGGGTCGAGCTAAGGTTAATAAGCCCTGTGCCTCTTTGACTTTGCCAATGCATGCAAAGCTCATCTGCTGCACCACATCGACAACTAAAGCAATAATTTAACAACGTGCCCTAGGTGAGAGGCACCTGGAGGAGCTCTCCGAACAAGAATTTTCTTATTCAAACCAAGAACCCTGGCAGCACAATACTTCTCTGCCCTCCACATATTTATGAAGCATTACAGTTTTAATTATTGGCCAGTGAGTGGCTGTCTTCTGAGCTTACTGATGGATGATTTTTTTCTGCGTTCAAACCCAGGAGCTTGTCTGCATTAGTGATATATTCTACATTCAAATGAATAAAGATATCTAGACCCAACATGCTGGTGGAAAGGAAATAAGGAGAAATAGAAAAAAATTAGGCAAGGAGGAAAGAAACACAGTCTATACTACGCACAACAGCCACCCACGGCAATGTAGTGAGGTGTTTAAGAGCAAGGGTGCTGTGATCTGTGACCTCTGCTCAAATCGTGGATCTGTCACATCCTGAGGTGGATGGTAAGTTTTTCATGGTGCGTGAATTATTTACTCTTGACAACAATGGACTCTATTTAAGGAAAAGAGACGTGAAGAAACATGTTTTTATGATATAAGGTGATACTACACCATGCACTGGACAAAATAATTAGAAATATCAGTTTCTAAAACTGTTCTTTTCTCTTATTCAGACAAAATGATAGCTGCAAAGAAATCTTGGGAAAAACCAATTTAAAGGTTAGACCATAATCTTAATTTATAATTACTTGAGACAGGTTAAAAATAGTTTTCCTTCCAATGAATTAAACACTTTGTCTGAAATGGTGTTTATATCATTAATTTACTTTGCAAGCCATTCTTCACAAATCATAAAAAGCTCAAGTTTGGGCTAGTCTACATCTAAGTTATTTAAATTCTAAATTACTGGTATTGAGTTAATGAGATATTAAAGTATTTTGAAAACTGACTGATAAAAGTTGAATACATTTCCTCCCTCCTACTGGTGGTGAGGAATGTGCTTTAGCTGCTTAGGAGTTTGGGCTGACTTGCATTCATTTGATGGGTAAGTGGTGATGTGTCAGTTCACCACTTAGTACAAGGAAAATGTCTTTCAGACTCCTAGACCTAACAATGAAAACTTTCTGAGTGCCGTTACCTGAATTTTGTTCCACAACTAAGTGCTATGAATTAGCTTCATTTGAAATGAAAGAAAATAGAGGAAGACTATTGAGACTCACTCAGCAATCTCTCCTTGGGCATAAGAATGTAGAGAACATTAACTGTGTCCACAAAGATGTCATTTCTGACTGATCATCAAATCAATAAGAATTCTGAGTGGCTCTGCCGCCAGTAGTGATGGCCTCTTACCTACATTTCTGTAGCTTTTCACCAAGTTCTGTCAATGAGGCAAGCCATGGCCAGGGAACACTTCTCCTCTGGATTACCTCTGGGTCCACCTAGGAGCAACCCAGGTGCTATTGTCCTTGATAAAATGTGTCATAATCAAATGAATGAAAAAAGCTACACAGTACCCCCAAATTCTTAACGGTGAGA